TAGTTAATTAATCTGCTCACCTGTTTAAAGACCGCTAACCCACTCAACCTACAAATGAATGCAATTTCCTAGCAACTGCACAGTACATCCTCCTATTGTATTACTAAAGTTCAGTTTAAAAAAAAAAAAGCCCCACTTCTCACATATCCTTGTTTTCTTGGTTTAAAAAAAAGAAAAGAAAAAAACAAGTAGGAAAATCGAGGTCTTAATTGAACTTTTGTACCTATAAGAAATCTGCTACATTGCCAGTAGATATGATTGCCTTATTTACATTAGTTATTACATTCGTTATTATTTTAGAAGGCAATACAAATTGATGGAACTACTCGGTGCATAATCACTGCAACTGGTAAAGATTTTAAAGACGGAAAATACAGAAAAATTTTAAAAGGAGAATTTAATAATTACCAAGTAAGCAGATTTAAGAGCAGTCCACATTAAACTATTAACACTGCAATACAGACATGTTTAAGACAAATGGAAGATACTGAGCAGGTCCAGTTTACATTCCAATATACTGCAAATATAAAATCTTAATTCAAATTTCTCTTCTGAATTATTGGGGGAAAAGGCCATTTTATGCATTTGTAAACCGAAAGCATATAAACTTCTACATGAATTTAAAAGACAGTAGGACCTAATGAACTGTCATGTGTGAACAGGAAATTTTAAACATGCCCTTTAAACAGGATTCAAACCATTCCAGTCACACAGTTCCCAGTTTGTGTTTGTCAGACATGTTCAGGCTCCTGATCAGAATGCAAAGTACTTTTTTTTTTACATGAGTACTGTACTTTAAACAGGTGTACTTCGCAGGTGTACCAATTGTCAATTTAAAAGCAGCACAATAAAAACACCTGTAATACCAGGCTCCAGTTATAATGGCCAGATCAGTTATGGCTTAAGGGAAATCCAGAAAGAAAATAATTTCACAGAGAAAACCTCACCGAATAAAATGACACTTTATGGCTCTTTAAACTACTAGCAGATATGGCAAATTTTTCTTTACTTTTATGCGCCGTCCAACAGACAAATAGTTTTTACTTCGTCTAATACGCTGTATCAACTTTGCTTAAAAAAATTAAATAAATAAATAAATAAATAAATAAATAATGCAAGGTCGGTATATGGGATTTCTTGTGCGTATGAATATTAGCAAAACTCATGCACTCCAAAACGTGGCGGGATAAAGATTTCACTCTGAGTGAAAGGGAGCAGTACCAGTGGCTCAAAGTGATACAGGTGCAAGCAAACTTGCAACTCTGACTAAATTAACTAAACCGATGGTGCTAAATGTGGCTAACATTTAAACAGAGTTGACGTTAGCTACCGACAGTTGTGGCGAGCTACGCTAGCGCGTACCCTGCTCGCCTCTCAAGCCAATTAGAGCGAACTGATTTGTGGGCAAAGTGCAATAAAGCCCTAGTTACAACATCACTGGCCTCGATATCATATTTCTATTGCATATTAGCAGTTGCTAGCTAGCTTGCTTCGTAACTTAGCACAAGGTATGCACTGATCGTAAAGGCCTTGGCTTGTAGGTTCAAATGACACCAGATATGTCGGCAAAGGGGGCGGAGTATTGGGATCTGAGTCCCCGGCCTGCTCCGCTAATGTGCGGACGACCACCAGCGCCACTCGGCTGTCGGTACTAATGCGTTGTAAACAAAACAAACAACAGCAGAAACAACATAATTTTAGCTCTTAAACAACTCAGTGAAAATGTTTTTTTTTTCATGACAGATAACACCGACCCGTTCGAGCTGCAGAAGCTATTAGCATGTTAGCTCCCGTTAGCCAGCTAGCTAAAAGACAGGCAGCAAAGAGGAACCATGGCTTACCTTCACTGTTTATAGCTACCAGACTGCTTGTCTGCACGGCGTGTCTACAGCCAATTTATCGAATGCATTGGTCTCTTTAAACACTGTAAACGTATTCATTCGACAGAATAGTACTTTCAGAAAGTCGTGCTCTGTATTTTATTTATTATTTTTTTCCCCTCTCCACCAACGGTCGCTTCTGCGTATCAGTATGTGTCTGCTGGCTCCCAGTCGCTGCTCTTCTTGTTGTTTGTGTTTCGGAAACATGGCCGTCAGTGTGACACCACGTGACTGGACATTGACAAGCGCCTAACCAATGCTGTAGCAGGGCAAACACACCCCTATTTACCAGCCTGGACACTGGAGTGTACTGCACGCCGCGATGCTTTTACAGGCAGAACGTCCGGAAGGTTTATTTAGCCAGTAAGCTGGCGAGCGAAAGCATTTGTTAGCACGCAATTGTATTAAATGCACAACACAGCCAGAGCAATGCAAACTCGCGAGGCAACAGTCACAGAATAGCAATGAAATTAACTTCCATTAAACTTGCATTCACAAACGCTAATGTCAGTAGCGTTGAGCGTAAAAGCACAGTTAAATATTGTTTCAACAGTGAATTGTATGCCTCGCAGTGCTGGCAGCAAACACTTACTGAGCATGCGCAATGCTTTTCTGGCGGTAGTTGTGGGAGTTAGTCGTTAGAGGGTGCTGTTGAATGCACAGCAGCACAAGTGTGCACACAACCGGATGGTTTAAATGGGGATTAATGAAGATGAAAGTAGCAGTCCTGCCCTCTTCAGTTGCTGGTAAAGTAAATTTCAGAAATGTAGTTTATTAAAAGCTAAAAACGAATAATAGGTACAACAGTATGTATGATAATTTTGCACAAAAAAATCGTACAACTTCTAATTGTTGTATGACAGCGGAAAGAGAAGAGGTTGAAGATGACTAATTTCATTACATTAAATATTTTCCATACAGTGTCATCAAAACACTTAGTTGCAAATTTCAGTATGGAATGTGGATTACCTTCAGTTTGTTTAAAAAACAAACTGAAACAATATCAGCTTTTCTTGAGGTGGATTCTCTCTAATATTTAATTCCAATATGCCATATATTGCAAAGTAAATAGTTTTCAACTCAATGTTAATCAAATGAAGCACATATTGGACAATGCTCAGATGGTTAATAACACCATCAGTTTGGGAAAACATGTTGGCACTGGCCCCCTTGACAGAGACAGTGGACCCTCTACCAGTCAGCTGGTAGAGGATGTTGCAGCTGTAGATGGTGGTTTATTGTTTGCCTCTCAACCTTTTCTTAAAGTTTCTGAAGGCTTTGATTAAGCAGAGGAATTTAGTTATACTACCATCACATTATTGAACCTCTGCTCAAACTGTCTGCAGAAACCTAATTGTTTTTTGAAGTGCCCAACCTTTTATTTCACCAGTCTTGATAGAGTTAATTCTTAACGTCTTTAAGGTCTTCAGGTCATGTCCCAGTTTGTCATGGTTTTACATCGTCCTATGAATTCCACACTGGATTCATGCAGAATGATAGCTCATGTCTGGGTTCAGGCGTACCCAGTTCACTGCAACCGCACTAACACCTCTGGAGTTTCCCCCTATGGAGGATTTTGTGAAGGCTGCCAGATGTTCATGTCAGTTACATGGGCTCACTTATGCTTCACAGCGATCACATCAAAGCCATGTCCAGCTAGCCTGGTCCCAGGTGCTGTTCTTGCAGCGTTCAGCTTGGCTAGTGAAGCAGGAAAGTGGGGCGCGTGGCACACAGCCAGCAACACTGTTTGAGATGCTGTGAATGAAAGGTGCAGGAAGAAGCCGGCTGAGTTTATTATTCTCAGTTGGACCATTTCAGCATTTCTGGAAAGGTTATTGTTACATTAGCTGGAAGTAAGAGTGGTACAATGTAAAGTGATATTTTTACTAACCAAACATTACATTATTTCATTCTTCGGATTTTTTTTACAGACAGGAAGTGATTCAATTGTTAATTAGATATTTTGTTGTCTTATTTACACTTTTACATCACCTCACATGCTGCATATGTATATTTAATGTAGACATACTGTTTAATCTCAGAAGACAGAACACTGTAAAATATAATCCGTTGTCTTTAACAGTCCAGGAATTAATTTTTACTTCAAAACATTAAATTGAGTTTTTATGTTTGTTGGCTACTGAGATTTTTGTCAAGGCTTTTAAAGCCATTACCAACAGACTCTGAAGCAAGACCCAAAAGTGAGTATTTGACTGTTAAGTGGCTTTAATGTCGTAGAGCATTGAGCAAAAACAGAGGAACTGAGAATCCACGGGAATGGAGCCGGCTACTTGGTAGAATTACCCTAGGACAGAGGAAAAGAAAGTCAGTCCAGACACAATCTGATGCTGAGCTGTTTATGAAAGGTGTCAGAAGGTGGTGAAGATGCTTACCATGGGTAGGGCCACTGATCCGATCTCTGCAGGCTTTCCTAACTGTTGGAGGATGGGCAGGAGAGTGAGCTGCTGAGGTGAGTGTTTAAGCAAGGATTTCCTGAAAGCATGGACCAGCTTGACGGTGACATGTGATTGCATCTTGCAGATGGTTTGTTCTTCCGCCACATGAGAGTCACAGTTTGAGAAAAAGAGGACATCAGTGCCTGGAGAATGCAGGCACAAAAGTCATCAAGGAAATGGATCACCACCCTAGTGAAAACGACAATCTGGTGGTGGAGCTGGTCCTTAAATACTGACAGAAGAACGGGACTTCAGGAGCTCAAATGAATCCAGCCCATCCTTGATTCAGAGAAGTGTTAGGGCACAGGAGACAACCAGTGCAGGAGCATGATAATGGAAATTTCTAATATTAAGGAATCCTAATTTAGAAACTAACTGCGATAACACAAATTATAAAGTAAAGTCAGAGAAGTCACATATACGTACATTACTATGACTAGTTGCAAACTCAAGAGGAAGTAACTTGTAAATCATTGTGTCCTACTTTGAGTTACATGTACAACACCCCAACGTTTTATATTGTACAACATCCATATCATCCATCCAAGGTGTCCAGTATCTTTGGAGTTTACATTTTTACATAGTGCATACTGATAAGACCATGTGCTGCATGAAATATAGAAAATATAAAGTTACAACAACCCACGGGTGTAGGAAGCCTAGCCTATAGAGTGAACACGGTGATGTAAATTTTAAAAAAGTAGAAAACGAATGCAGTCTGACAAATGGCTGTGCAGACTTGCATGACTAAACCAGATAAGTGAGGTATCCAGCCAACCAGGCCAACCTGAGCCACTGCTGCTTTGCATAGAACGTCTCTGTCCAGCTGTCATTGTACGAGCCTGCTGAAGGAAATGCTGATACAGGATGACACGTTAAGCCGAACCGGAGTATGGAGTCTGAGTCTCTCGGTCTTTTATTGGTGCGCAACAGCCATAGCAAACATGTCAGACCCGATAAAGAAATAACCCAGTTATATTTTCTTCAGGCAACTCCAGCTGTGTGAGGATGCATCTGTTTTTCACGTCTTTATTCCCCATCACCCTGCTGATGGCGTCCCACCTGGTGAGCGCCACCGTGTCCAAGAGCTTCAAAGAGTGCAGCCAATTCTTCTACATGCAGACCCCGCCTGCAGGGATCAGAGGAACAAGCCTCAAGTGGATCTGCCAGAAATATGCAGACAAACTTCGCTACGCCACACTGTATGACAGCAGTCGCCATCTCCCCCTCTACTCAGCCTACGTCTTTAAGAAGTCTGACGGGAAGAGGAGGATGGACACCCCCTGGATGTATGAGCCTCAGGTAGAGCCTCAGAGCAGCACAGTAGCTATAACTTACAACTTTTTGAAGAGATGTTACATGTTTTGGGGCATGATAACACTTTGTTTAAAAAATATAATTTATACAAGAACAGTGCATATACCAGGTACTAGAATTTTTATATTTTTTTCCCAGACAGTTACTTTAGTTTACATGAGTTAATTTTACTTCAAATCAGTCTGGTGCTTGTTACCAAAGACCCAACAGGACAGTATAAGCTGTTAATCACCCAGACATGCCCCCAAACACACTTCTATTTTAAAGACACAGTTTGGCAGTTTGAAAGATGAAGTTAAAGTTGAAGCTTGTTTGTGTTGCTAAATATGTATTCTAAGAAAGCTGATTAACGGAGCCTCTTAGGTTACCAAAGTAGGTTTGGTTTATAATGACTCATATCAAATGGGCCAGAAGAAATAAATTGCCTCAAGTGCTACAGCTGGGCGTATTCTGGCTCTGGTTCAGCCTTGGACTCAAGGCTAAAAGAAATACCTTCTGGAGCTGAATTTGACTAATTGTTGCTCCTTGCTACATATTGATTTCACATAAATCACCGTATTTCATCTGTTTTCACTAAGTCTGAATAAGCACATATCTCAATATTCTGAGTGTTTTAAGCTTTGACAGCATTGTACTGTTGAAATAATCGCTCGATCATGATGATTTAATAAGCTAGCTTAAAAGACTAGCTTGGAATGTTGATACATATGCTTATTCATCACTTTAGTGAAAGAAAACATTGATATTAATGTTATAACATCTTTAAAATCAATGTCTAGCTTCAGACAAAAAGACAATAATTAATCAACATTTCTTCTGTAGCACATTCACTGTATTCATCCATAGCACACTTAAGGCAAGTTATTTTTTCTAGCTCATTTGATGTGAGTCATTATAAACCATAATTACTTTGGTATCCCTGCCAACCTGCTTTCCAATTATATTGTAGTGTGAGAGATGTGTGTGTGTTCAGTTTCAGCATCCAGAGTAGGGTTGGTTGGGTTATGGTAAGGTACATCTGACCTCCTGGATCTGGCTCTTTTTTTTAAGCTGACCTGAATCTGGCAACACAGGATTAAGAATCTGACACCTATATTTTTTAACTGTCATGTGAACAAACAATCAGGCTGTGAAATATGATGTGTAATACCTGCCTTAGATTAAGATGCTTCCAGGCTTTACTGCTCTTATTTAAGTGTCTTGGCCTGTGGATTGAGGACTTTAGAATTGCTAAATGTCATGTTTCTTTTACTTCCTCTTCTTACAGCTGCTTTCAAATGATGAGAGTAGTAACATGAAGGCACTTCCCCTGAGTGAAAAGACTCCCCCTCTGATCGAGGACAGCCAGCTTGTTTTAGAGGACTACACAGATGCCATAGGATATCGACGTGGCCCACTAAACCCTGACCTGCACCAAGCAGAACCAGATGACAAATCCTCCACTTACACCCTGACCAACGTAGTTCCACTGATCACAGATTTCCTGGAAACCTCTTGGAACCCATACTTAGACATCGTTCGCCGACGACTCAACAATTTCTGCCACGGCAAATCTTTTGTGGTGACAGGGGTGACTGTTTCAGGGGCTGCCATTCAGCGTAATAACAGGGACCGCCTCATCATTCCAAAACACTTATGGCTGGCATACTGCTGTCCACAGTTTGATCATAACTCACCATATGAAGTGAGGTTTATGTTCCCTAGCTACGGGGGCTATGCACTGAATGAACAGGCTGGATTTAGTGTAGTCGAGGTACCTCTAAAGACTCTGGAGACATTCTTAAAGAGCCAGACTGACATAGACAGTGACATGGCCATATTCTACAAGGGATGTGTGGCAGAAAATCCCTTAAAGAAGAGGAGAGACCTTACCAATGTTTTAGTATGATGGAATTTTCATAGTTGATCTTCTATGAAAAACAGTATTTTGTCAAAAGCTAGCTTGCAGTTAGTAGCCAAGCTAGTGTTAGCTAACATGAGCCAGCTCAGAGAAAACCTGAATAAAAGGAAAACATGTTTTCTAAAAAATATTATGCAGCACTTTTAACCGCTTAAAAAAATCTGACAATTATTTTGTTAAAGTTAATGTTTAGCGATTAATGAATCAAATTAAAAGCCCAAACAACTACCCAGAGGTGTTTTAAGAAAGATGACTTGGTTTTAGAAAAACTTTATAATTGACTTGAAGTCTGTCCTGATTTCTCTGCTGTTTTTGTCTACAGATAGACAGGCTTCATTAGATAAAACTAGCCATTAGCTAATACTAGCCAGAAGGTGTTCTGGCTAGTGTTAGCTTACCCTACTTTTATGGAGAAACTGGCAGCTCGCTGGCTAATGCTAATTTGCTTGCTTGCTAAGGTCACTTGCAAATCCCTGTCTGAAGCCATATGTTTTCTATTTTGAGTCCATTTGTATGCTATACTTAGCTAAAGCTGGTCAGTGCTATCTTTGGGAGCTGAGGAGAGGCATTGTGACCACAATGGTCATGTCCTTGTGTCACTCATAGGCTCTTAGAGGCAACACAGAAATTAACAAACAGTATAATTTTAAAGTCACATTGCAGTCTGTTTCACACACTGGCAATAAAAAAGGGTTTCACACATGAAAAAAAGTTGCAGACTTTTTAACAGGATGCAGAGTAATGCAGGAATGTTGAAATGCATCTATTGCAAAAACAGGACTAAGCCAACTTTACAGTGTTGAGCAATCCTGCTTCACGTGTTATTGAATAAATTAAAGTATAATTCAGTTAGAAAGGAATAGAGCCATTGAACTGTTACAATTTATTAATCTTGCCTTTATGGAAAAAAAATTATGAACCCAATAGCATCTTTATTAAATCCTTCCTGGGGTAATCGCCATAGCTATTAAAATTTCCTGCACTTAAACTGAATACATTCAAGCCAAAATGACCTGACTTGTAATTTGTCCACATCTTTGTCTTTATCCCACCTATTGTTCTCCTCGACTCTATTTGTATTATGAACTCTAAAGTGCTCAATTTCAGAGTCCAGATGTTCAAACCAAATGTAAAACATTGTGCTTAAATATTCTACCTCATTTTTGATCTAGGTGACGGAGAAGAATTTGCCTGTTACTGACCTGTGCTGTATATGGTAATGCTGAACAAATAAAGCTCAAATGTGCACTTATTTATATAGTAAAATACAATTTTCAGAAATTTCTCCATGGAAAGAAAATGATAGCCATATATAAGAACTGAGCAACCACGAGTATCTTTAACTTATATTCTGTCTTTATCCAAAAATGTTTCATTATTTTGCATTTCACAGGATGACCAGTAGATAGAAAACAGCATGTCACATATTGCTGCTGGAAAAAATGAGTGCTTCTATGTCTGGAAAGTGTTGAAAATATGCATTTGGTCACAATCACGTATTTGATTTTGTTATATCTTCCTGAGAACTGAGGCATTGAACCTTTTTGTAATTTCCTTCCTCTTTGGAGCTAAAAGGGGCCGCCCAAACACATGAGATATCAATGGAAAGCCCAGGATTTCCTCTATTTAGTACATCATCAAATGAGTCAAAAGATATAGACCAAAAACAAATGTCCATTACAGAGGACACAAATAAGCTGGTTTTAATGATATCTCAGGATATGCCTCTTTTGTGGCACAATCATTCTGTATTTTATTTATAATGTATTTTATTCTGTATTTTATTTTAGTAATCTCTTAATTTTGCAAATAAAAGTTCTTTCATGTTACTACCCTGTTGTTGTGCTGCAAGTTATTCTTTTTGAGGCAGTTAGAATTAATAACTGTGGGGCTGAGATAGCTGTTAGCAAGTTTATGCAGCTCTGTGGGAATTCTACAGCCACCAACAGTCACAACAGTCTTGATAACATAGAATGCAGCCATGATCATATCATAGCAATTGTAGTCATTTTAGTAGTCTGCATTCTGTACTTGCAGCATTTACATCCTTAGGCGAGAGTGTAACTCATGTTTCTGTAAAAAGAAAAAATCCCAAACCTTACACATGTACCTTAAAGGCATCACATGCAGCGATTAATAGTTACTACTTTGAAAAAAAGGATGGCTGTAAGGATACACTCGCTGTATACACGTGACCGTGCCTGTTGAAAATGAGACTGTGCAGAACAGACAGATGGTGAGTGTACACACACAAAAATGTATGTTAATGTCACCCTAATATATCTCCAAAAGTTGATTCTGTTCATCTGGATGTAGCGTTTTCTGGGAGAAACGTTTCGTCACTCATCCAAGTGACTTCTTCAGTCTCAGCTGACTGCAGGTTTCCCCAATCTTATAAACAACTTTTGGAGATTTATTTTCCTGGATGACTGAGAATGCATCAAGACGTAACCCTAATATACTTAACGTGTATTTTTTCTGCATTTGTCAGTGATATCAGTAGTAGTAGAGTAGAGTATACACTTCATTGGTAGCAAATATAAAGTTCATAATGACGCACAACGATCTTTAAAAACCCAAGGCACTTTAAAATTGCAAGTATAGCTTTGTGTTTTTGATAAATGCTTGACCATCTGGGAGGATGTGTTCAAAGAAATAACATTACACTAACCAGTGTGAGGCACCATTGGCCATAGTCCCTGTTTCGCCAGCTGTGGGTGGATATGATAAGGCATAAAGATGGCATTACTTTGCATACTGAGGCCAGATTACAGAGAGCAGAGTGGGAAATGTGTATGAGCTGTTTTACTGAGCATAAAGACGCACGCAGTCATTTGTAGCAGAGCTCAAAAATATACCTAACATACTATTTAACAGCTTTAACTTGTTACCAGAGTGGCTTCAGGATCCATTCTAGCTATGGCAGCTTGGGCACAGACAGCTTTTCTACTTTTCAGCATAATGTTAGCAGTAATAGGCAAAGTGGAAAAAGAGCTTTCTCCAGAGTGCAAAGAATTCCTCTACATGGGAACGCCACCGAGAGGACTGGAACACCACTCCGTCCAGTTCATTTGTCAGTACTACAACAAAAAGCCACGCTACGTGACTCTGTACAACACTGTGGACCATATACCGATCTACTCTGCCTACATATTTAAACGCTCAGAAGGGGAGAAATGTATGGATGTCCCTTGGATGTACGAACCTCAGGTAAAGAAAACTAGAAAGTTCACTGCTTTGAAATGTGCGTAAGAATTTGTTGCGTAGTCGTGTAATCACATTCAGTCATGCTCATGCCCTCATTTGCTGTGGGTCTGTCTCTCTGCACAGCTGTCCACGTCCTCTGAAACAGACGAGATGCAGCCCTTTCCACGGAGTTACATGCACATGAACTTTGAAGATGCCCAAGCTGTTCTTGACGATTACACAAATGCCATCCTTTACGAGCGCGGCACGCTCAACCCGGACGAGCATCAGAATGAGCCTGACGACAAAGCAGCTACCTACACCCTCACCAATGTGGTACCCGTGATGCCTGAAGTCAACAACCTAATCTGGGACAAACAGGAACACATGATCCGCAAAAGGCTTAACAACTACTGTCGTGGAACGGCTCACATTGTCACCGGGGTCACCACCTCTGGCAAGATGATCCGCCGGGAAAACATGAACCGCATTGCAGTCCCCACCTACCTGTGGTCAGCATATTGCTGTGTTGACTATGACCACAACACACCTTTTATGAACCGTTTTAAATTCCCATCTTTTGCTTACTATGGCCTCAACGAGGATGAGAACAATGACATGGTGGAAGTCTCCGTCCAGAAGCTGGAGGAGTTTCTCAAGAAGACAGAATTTGTAAGCCAGAACTTTCAGATCTTTGTGGGCGACTGTTCCATACAAGCACCTGAGAAAACTGCATAGGGAAAATATTTAGAGATATTTTAACATTTGACAAATTAAAGAAAGACAAAAAAAAGTAGTCCTACCAGAAGAGTGCCAGTGTACCTTCTCATTGGTCTCTGGAACATCAATCTCTCAACAGACGTTCCTGTATCTTTTTTATTCCCTTTATTATTTGGTGTTTTTATGATTTATCTCCTGTGATTATTCAATTGGGTTTTAATCCTGTTATTACAGAGGCCATAATCTATGAACTGCTTTAAATTCATACCCATCAAACCATTCAGTAATCCTCATGCCCTCTGGATTGGGGCACTGCCATCATAGAGGAGACCACACCCATCAGAATAAAATGTTGTAATCATAGAACAAAGGCTATGAAAAGTTTCTTTTAACTTGCAGTGCCCCTTCAAAGAGGACAGATGAATCCAAACCATAAACGAGATATACAGGTTACTAATTTGTCCTTTAATTTGTCACTGATCTTTGTGGTGTTTGTAAGTAAAAAGAGGTGCCATCATGTGCCAAATAAACATCCAGGTAAATTATAACAGTGTGACAGTGAGCTATCACTAACAGTATCCATGAAATTTGCAACCATAATTTCTTTTGTTATCTACACCTGTGCTTTTTCTACTGTGCATGGTAATTTATATGACACGTTACATCAGGTAAAACAAAAGCTTCCAAGCGGGTCATAAAATCTGCCGACACTGGATATCACGTGTATTTTTTGTTGTTCTGCATAGCCTTTACTTTGAAGGCAGAGGCATAGCCAGCTATCAAGGAGGGGGGAGGGGGGGATTTACATTAGTAGGTTGTTCACGTGTTGGAAAGGTGTGGGGGAGGGGCCATACTGTACTTTAAACACTCTTGCAATGTAACAAAATGTAACTTTCTCATATATTTCACAGGAATAAACCACTGAATGAAACTGTCTCTGAAGTTTTGTTTTTGACATATTCTGGGCAATTTGAAACCTGTCATCAGACGTCATATGTATATTAAGTTACAGCACCAGCTCAGGATGGGATAGAGCTTTTTAATTTGCTGCTGAAATGAAAAATCGAAACTTGATATGTGGAAATTCTCCAATGCAAGTCTCCTTCTACACTTTAAAACAAAAACTGGCTTTAAAACACAAGTTTCTCCCAAACCACCCATTTCTACTCTTTCATTAAACTTCAGCTTCATTTCATTCACTGCAACAAGGCCGACGATGGAAGAAAGGTTATTTTTGAATTGAAGGTCTCAAGTGAGTGGCATTTGTCCTCTGCACTTTACAGTAATAAAATGCTCTCAGTGACTGATAACTACTGCTACGACACTCGTGGGAATTTGAATATATGGAAAAGCCTTTACAATGAGAGAATTGCTCGCTTGAAGTGCAGGTGAGGCATGAAGGGAAATGTGGGGTGTGATAGAGCTGGGACAGAGGCTGTACTTGTTAGGCAGTAGTAGATTGCAGTGGTGTGTCACAGGTGAATTAGAGACATATTAGCAAGAGAAGACACATCTACAAAGACACAAAAGAGAGCTGCTGAGAAAAAAAAAGCTGCAGTGATGATACCTACATTTACAAATTGTGCCTTAGCAACGGCAGCTGCCATGATCTTCCTAATGTGTGGATTGCTTGAAGTGTCCCAGGCAGGAGTGGTAGGAGACTTCAACCATGCGGAGCGCTGCAAGGACTCTCTCTTTATGGGAACGCCACCACGAGGATACCTCAGCAACTCCTTTAAGAAGATCTGCCAGCAGTATGAGGACAAACCCCGCTATGTCACCCTGTACGACTCACACAAACACGTCCCCATCTACTCAGCCTATACATTCAAGAAGTCAGACGGGGAGAAGAAGGTGGATTTCCCTTGGATGTTCGAGCCTCAGGTGAGAGCGCTTGCGAGCTCAGTCAAGGATGAAACAAATAAAACAGAAGCCTGGTTTCATTCTCAATTTTGCATGTTTGCCCATACAGTGTGCTATATATCTGACATAATACTATTCACACTATATATACCATATATTCACAGTACTCTGTATCTATTCACATGCAGTTATTGGAGATTTCCTGACATTTATGGAAGTGTAAAGGCAATATCACCTGATGTTTCTTAACAAGCAGCTAAAGAACTGCAGCAACTATGCTACTGTAATAGAAACAATGTAAAGCTGAGATAAGCTGCTTTATTAGCTCTGTGTGCTATTTCACTGAGATAGTGTTGCCATTACCATTTATGCAAATTTGGCATTTTTCTCTAAAAATGACAAAAGTT